AATATAATATATATATATATATATATATATATATATATATATATATGTGTGTATGTATATGTATATGTATATGTATATATATATATATATATATATTATATAAGGGTGTAATAACATTGCGTGAGAATTATATAGTAAACACTATATCTATATAAATAAACTTCTTACCCTCGGAGAAACAAATTAATTATGATGACCCAGCCATTTTCCACCTGCCTCCAAAGTGGCTTGCTTACATGCTCAGGTTTTTACTCTTTCCAGCTTCAATGAATCATCAAACACTGGTAGACATCTTTGTCTCTCAAAAATTATGTTGTGCTGCTCTAATAGCTACAACACTATTCCATCACTTGGCAGCTCACAATGCATGCGTAGAGCTGCGTGCATGAGACACGACCGTAGCATCATCATCTCTCTTTCTGATGTACCCGACAGTCCCAACCACAGTGGAAGGTGAGAGATGACCCAAAAGTGATACTGTGTTGGGGAGCTTGACCACTAAACTCCAGTGGCTATTATCGACGATCTCACCGTCTGCTCTCAGCCATTTATTCCTTTTGAGGTCCATGACAGCTCACTCATCTCAATCCGATCACCATAAAGTGCAAAAGATTCACCTCTCACAGTACTGTGGCGTCCATGAACCAGCAGGCAGATCCAGCTTCTTGGCTGGAAGAAGACCACCACTATTTGGACACAGTTCATATCACACGATACGCTGTGTGACTGAGCCATCAGAACGATCGTCTGATTTCCTCTGATAACGACATTGGAGCAGAAGGACAAGGTGTGTGACCCAGAATTCTTTTCTTTTCTGAATGACTCGTCTTTCTTCACCAGAACTGCTGGCCTTTGGCACCAGGAAGGTGCAGGAGAGGAGGCTGGTGTAAGGTCAATTGCATGATACCTAAAGTAAAAAAAAAAAGAGAATTCCTTTTCAAAGTCTGATCGTGACAATGAATAAGGTGTCAGGCTTCAGCATGTTCTTCTGCTGAAACGAAAGATAAGAAGAGCTGCGCAAGGTGCCAAGAAGAGGAAAAATAAGTGAATCGATTTGTTTGGATGTGTTCTTTGTGTACGTGAAATCACACATCTAGCAATTCACTTGAATCCATCAAACATCATCAAAAAAGCTGCAAGTTCTCTTCTGTTTGTCTTCCTGTGTTCATAAGATGATCACCGTATAAGAGGATGACTAGATAAAGATGATCTCATCCAGAAATAAAAAGAGGATTATTAGGGTTATCCTTTCTCTTGTTTCTTCTCTTAATAGAAGCTGATGGGCTGATTTGGTCTGCTATGTCTTGGGCTTCCCTCGTTGTGGCCTAAATATAACTTATAAGGCCTAAGTTCTTAGTACACCAACTTAATGTCATTAGAAAACATATTAGAATCAATCTAATATTAGGCAGGGTGAGCAATTCATTGTCCACCCATGGAAAGGAGCAGAGAAGATGTCATGATGTAGAACAAAACATTATTAGACTAAACCTTACGTGTACCATATTACGATTGAATTTTAGGATATATTATCTTTTGACAAACATATCAAATTATAGAGTGAGGAAGCTTACAAAGTGAGTGATAATCTAAATCGATTTATAAGATCTTGATGAGTCTCCGATGGATGTCTTAGTATTTTTTTAACTTAAATTACATATATCATTATATTAATAATTTATTATAAATTAATATGTCATGTAAGTAGATTTTAACTTTTGTTAATTTAAATTTGATGGGAGAGACTTATATGTACTACGTTTTTTAAAATGTATGAGTTACTCTAGACATTAATAAACCATTAGGACTTAAAAGAGGACCATGACTAGAATCATAGATGCTAAAATAAATTTTAATCCTAAATTATATATATTATTATATTAATAATTTATTATGAGTCAGACTTGATTTAAATGAACCTTAACCCATCTTAACTGAAACCATAGCACTTTTGTTCGAAAAAAAAAAGGAAAAAGGAACTTAATGTTTGTTGCTTAATTTTGTCCCGAAACTTCAATTCCTTGATCTCCTAAACTCTTTGTATATATATAAATATACTCAATTGCAGACATAGCGACAGATTTTGAAAGAACTTGTTCCTATGTTGATTTTAAGGAGAAAAAAAAGGAAGGCCAATCACCTTTTATTTTTAAATGACTTAAGATGTGATAGGAGAGCAAACTTTCCAATCCGTTAGCCATTCGTGGACATCGAGCATCCACAAGTAAACTATTAAGAGAGTTCAGGGGAAAATAATAATAACCAAAATTAAAAAAAATAATAAAATAAATTTATATTATTTAAAATAATTAAAGATGAACAAAAAATACCTCTCATTTTTTCTAGTTTATCTAAAAGGAAACAAAAGAAAGAGAAACGTTCGGTCCACACAAGCCAAGTCGTTGGAGCGGAAAGAGGGGAGGCGGAGATGAGCTTCGCCTACGCCATGGCGGCAGCCTCACCCTCGTCGCTCCTCCTCCCCAGACCTCAAACCCTATCTCGTCCTCTCTTGAACGGCCGCCTCCCCTCGCCTCCCGCCACCCGGAGGATCCCATCCCTTCCCTTCTGGTATCCGACGCGAGACCCCCGCAGGTTCGCTGCCTCTTCCTCGCCTTCCCCCAGCGCTGTGGAGGGGAAGCCTAAGCTGGATGCCAAGAATGGGGGAAGAAGTGCCAAGGACAAGGGGAAGAGTTTGAGGGAACAGAGGATCGTTCTCCCCACCAATGAATCCTCCGAGAAGTTACTCCGGATTCGCCACACGGTACTGCTCTTCCTCCTAACTGAACCCTTCTTGCTTCCTTTCTCAGACGGAGGGTAAAAAAGGATAATTTTTTAGTTATATTGACTGTCGAACTATCCTTCTTCTTTAGATATATGCCATTAACGTTTAAATTTTGATGCTTTGCAGTCGTTGGTAAGATCTATAGCAAGCATTTAGGTACGTATTTTGGGCTTTTGTATGTCTTGGATCTTCTCTCACTTTCTTGATGAAAAATTATGCAAGTAATGGAATTTTTGGGAAGAAGGGATGATAGTCTTGGACTGTTCCAATTAGGGAAGAAAAAAAAAAAGATAGAAAGATGGATCAGTGTCTTTAAGTATGTGACTGAGAAAGATGAAATTTGTTTTCAAATGCTTTGCTCATTAAAAAGAAAAATTCTGCTTATCAACTTTCTGCACCTCGGTCAGCATATAACGCATGGTACAAACGATTTGTTTTTACATATACAAGATATCAAGCATTGATGATATGCGATGAACCATGAATATCCAATACAAAAATGTAGTAAGAAATATCTTGCATATTTATATATTTATTTATTTTGTGTGTGTGAAGAAGTGTGTCTACATCATCAATTTTGATATCCATGGCCATTGATAAATAAAATTACGTTTTACAGACATAAGTGCTCTCTTTGTGTTATAATGAACTTTGTCAATTTCCTTGTTTTCACAAAGCTGCTAAAGGAAGGAAAATAAAACAAAGAACTAGTGAAATGTTGACATGGAATTCATATTTGTATCTTACTCATTAAACATCTGTAAAGATTTACTGTATATTTATAAATGAGAAAGGGTCAAAATGATGAACATTGCCACTTGTATTCAGCATTGCCATTACATGATGCTAGTATCTCTTTTTGCAGTGCGCACATGTCATGGCAATGGCTGTTCAGAGATTGTTCCCTGGCTCTAAAGTGACCATAGGTCCATGGATAGACAATGGTTTTTATTATGACTTTGATATGGAGCCTTTGACGGACAAGGATCTGAAGAGAATAAAGAAGGAAATGGTAAGCCTGACTTAATCTTCAAAAGCTTTGAATGGCTTTCTAAATTAAGGTCATGACATAGCTGTAGCTATGCAAGAATATTCATTAGCTTATTGTTTCAGGGTACAGAATTTATTTCTTGCATCATCTGTAGGATCGTATCATCAACCGCAATCTACCTTTAATAAGAGAAGAGGTATCAAGGGAAGAGGCTCAAACACGAATTATGGCCGTAAATGAACCATACAAGTTAAAAATATTGGAAAGCATAGAGGAAGAACCTATTACAATTTATCATATAGGTAAGTTTGCTTCTTCTTCTAGTGTCTTGGTCAACCTTTTTATGAAACATAGTGAACCTGCTGCATCCATTGAAAAAACTTGCTGCTCACTTATCTTTCTATCATACAGGAAATGAATGGTGGGATCTTTGTGCTGGACCCCATGTGGATTCGACTGGACATATCGATAAGAAGGCTGTTGAACTTGAATCTGTTGCTGGGGCCTATTGGAGAGGTGATGTAAGTAAACCCATGTTGCAAAGGATATATGGAACAGCATGGGAGACCGAAGAACAGCTAAAAGCTTACCTTCATCTAAAGGAAGAGGCAAAGCGACGTGATCATAGGCGTCTTGGTCAGGATCTTGATCTATTCTCTATACAGGTACTACAACTATCTCAACCATATTATCAGCTTGACCATAATTGTTTAGTAAAAATGTTTTGAGGATCTTCTTTGAGAATTGGTTTATGTCATCATGCTACAACTTCTATCCTTCCATCAGATGAGAGGGATATATGGAAGTATAACATGTGAAAACTTGTGAGACTTCATTTGCACTTTTTCATCTTACAAAGTTCTACTGGTTTCTTGTCAGGGTTTCATAAATATTTATATGTGTTTTAACATTGAGATTACTTCTTCCCTATAATTTCTTTGAGACCAATCAATGCCTGCTGTTCACATGTTCCATGCATGTACGACAAGTTTGCATTTCTATATTAATTTGTATATACTATGCTAAACTTTCAGCCTGTATATTGGAACTACAATTCCCGAGGAATATTCTAATCTTCCTTCTATTCTTTTGCAGGAAGATGCAGGTGGAGGATTGGTATTTTGGCATCCAAAAGGTGCAACGGTTAGGCACATTATTGAAGACTCGTGGAAAAAAATTCATCTGCAACATGGTTATGACTTACTCTACACTCCCCATGTTGCAAAGGCTGATCTTTGGAAAGTCAGTGGTCACTTGGACTTTTACAAGGAAAATATGTATGACCAGATGAATATAGAAGATGAACTCTATCAGCTTCGTCCAATGAATTGTCCTTATCACATATTGGTATACAAGAGGAAGCTGCATTCGTATAGAGATCTTCCTATGAGAGTGGCAGAGTTGGGAACTGTATACAGATATGAATTGTCTGGTAGCTTGCATGGACTATTTCGTGTGAGAGGGTTCACCCAGGTACAAATGGATGATGGCCTCTAGAGCATCTTGGCCAATTAATCATGTTTAATGTTTTCTAGTGGCACAGTTTGTTATGTTTTCGTGCCAACTCCTTCTTTGGTGTATTCTTGGTTATGTTTCAGTGTTTCACATGTTTTCACTTTTCCACTTTTGCAATTGATCAGTTTAAGCCAGGGTTTTCTGGTCATTCTTGTCTTTTTTTTTTTGAAGAAAATTACTAGCATTTGGTTCATCTGACACATATGAGGATAATGCATGTGCATTATAGCATGACTGGGATCTCATGTATTAGTGATGTCAATTGGCAAAGCCATGAACATGGTTGACATAAGAATTAGGAGTTTGATGCATGGATTTCATGTTCTAGTCATGCGTCCCTATGTTATCCATGTTGGTGAGGTACTAACACTGGGCATGGTCACATCCTGAGATGCAATTCCAAATTTAACTCCAGGCATGTATCTGGCATGTGCATAATATCTCCATCGTGCAATTGCACATGTTATGCATGCCAGTAACTATTACTCCTTAGGGAAGTGATGATATAATGCCTGGCTTGATGGATTATTATGAGGCTTTGTTAATGAAGGAGTGCAATAGTTGATGTCATCTATAGACATCCAATGATGACATGTTACTTTGTGGTAAAATGCACATAGTAGATTTGAGATGAAGTTGAATGGATGTGATTTTTGTCGCATCAATCAATAGACTCATGATTTGAAAAACAAATTGTTGTGTGGGTGATTGCGAGGCATTGACTCAAGAGGCACAGTGCTTGATAGATTGTGTAACAAACACATGGCATTATGTGATATACCATGTGCTTACCCCCCCTTCTAGTTCAGTCAAAAGGAACCTTGATCAGTAGCTGTTATCCTATCAATCTAGCCATGAGAAATTCACAAGGTTCTATCCACAAGACCAATGATCCTCATTGTTTGTAAAGACCTTTTTTGTTGCAGAGAATTTTTTTTCTGTTTAATCTCTACAGCAGATGGTGTAAAGGGTCTTAGGTGTTTTTTTTTTCACAAAGGGTAAGTAGCGAAGGTGGGATTCGAGCCCAGGACCTTGCGATATACTGTCAAGGTCCTTATCAGTTCAACTAGCTAACACCCTCAAGGGTCTCAGGTGTTGTATGTCTGGCAAAGAAATAGAGTGATTTTGCTAGTAGTTTTATACAAATTGGTACTTGTTTGGATGCCTGTTGCGTTGGTAGTTTGCATGAGTGAAAATGTTTCGTGTTTGACCATTTTGTCATCCTTTTGGATGCTATTATTTGAGAAACTTGAAAACAGCAAACCCTGTTTTGGATGAATTCACGATCTTTATTTATCATGGGTAGATGGCTTATGGGGATTTGCTTTACCATGATCAAGTTGAAAGACATTACTGTTTGTCTTATTTTAATATTATTGTTTATCTGTGTTCCTAGTTATAGCTATTGTTGAATAAATTCACATTTGGTAAAAGAATCTAACTCTTTTACTGGTGATATATTAGTATTGGATTGTTTCAGATTGTAGCATTCACTTTAGTCTGATATCTCAATTTACAAAATATACAACAGGTCTACTCTCTGAAAGTTATTATGATGCTTACCAAACTGTGTTCTTAACATTCAATTAATCACCTAATGATATTTGATTGTACTTTCTCTGAAGGTTCTTGGACCACTCCGAACAAAGTTAAACAAATAGTTTTAGTTTCATTAATATTACTTGAGAATATAGTTCCAAGCATTCATGATTGTATACCAATGCACAAGATGCTGATGATTTGAGTTTGGCTTCACTATGATGTAGGATGATGCACACATATTCTGTTTGGATGATCAAATCAAAAATGAGATTAGGGGTGTACTTGATCTGACTGAGGAGATACTGCTTCAATTTGGTTTCAAGAAGTATGAGGTGAACCTTTCAACGCGGCCAGAGAAATTTGTGGGCACTGATGATATATGGGAAAAAGCAACTATTGCCTTGAGAGATGCTTTAGATGACAAAGGTTGGGCGTACCAGATTGATGAAGGTGGCGGTGCTTTCTATGGTCCAAAAATTGATTTAAAAATTGAAGATGCACTAGGAAGGAAATGGCAGTGCTCAACAGTGCAGGCAAGTTGTTTAGCATTCCTTTCTATTCAGTTGGACATTCAAAATGAGCTTTGGAATGTGCATATAGGCTAACTAGGCCATTGTATGACATTATTTTAGGTTGATTTCAACTTGCCTGAGCGGTTTGACATATCCTATGTGGATTCAAATGCCGAGAAAAGACGTCCTATTATGATCCACAGAGCTGTTCTTGGATCTTTGGAGAGATTTTTTGGTGTCCTTATAGAACATTATGCTGGTGACTTTCCACTGTGGATTTCCCCGATCCAAGCTCGTGTTTTACCTGTGACTGATACTGAGGTATGCTTCTCCATTTATCATGATTTTGTTGTTAAGCTTTTGATCCCAAATGGATTGATATTTATTTTCCTAAAGGAGTTATTTTTCTACATTGTTGTCAACTGTCAGTATGCAGGCTTTGGATTTCATTGGGCTTGGGCTGTAAAACCTAACTTGATTTTGGTGTCTGGCTACCCAACCCAATATGACATGGTTCTATGTATATCAAAATTATGTACATTGTGCATATCTCCCTCTCCTTTGTGTTGATATCAATGGTGCTTTTTATATCAAAATTAGATGTGAAATACAATATGCTTGTACAAAATTTCCTCCTATCTCCCTCTTCTTTGTGTTGGCATCGATGGTGCTCTCTTGACACTCTCTTTCTCTTCCTCTATTTCTCTTGAAGCTCGTGGATCTTTTGGTATGCCAAGGATGTTGGAGATTTTTTTTTTGGCAATTTCTATATATATATATATACACACACACACACACACACTCTTTTGCAAAATATTTCCTTTCATCTTTACCATATAGTATGAGTTTAGGGGTTTTCGTTTATTGGTTGGTGTATTGTGATGCTTAATCATTCTAGTTGAAATTTAGGATTTTGTTAACTGGAGTTGATGTCCTGTTTCATGGGTCTTGAATTCTTTCTTGCAAATTTGTTGGTTCTTTTTTTGTTGTAGTTTCTCTTCTTTATCTAGTTCCCTTTTTAAAACCCACATCTTTATTATGATTATTACTGTTTTTCATCTAATGGGCGTGCCAACTTGATGAAACACACCTGCTGGCCCAACCCACTCAACATACATATGTGGAACAAATGTTGTATATACATTTGAGACTTCTACAAAGGAAGCTACTAACTTATATCATGATATTTTTCCATCGAGTCTTCAGTGTTATTGGAGTCAAAGACGCATATTGATATTCATAAAAGTAGTATGTCTGCAAACAAAATAAATGCTAGCTCAATGTTGGCTTTTCAGCTGGTGAACACTGATGATCAATAAAATTGTGTGGTGTTGGGGCTGCTACATTTACAGTCATGCATGCAGTTTCTTCCATGTGAAACAATCAAGGCATTTTGTATCTCAATGCACTGACTGATTTCAATCTTAACATATAGTTACAATGGCTAAATGGCTAATATGCTTCTCATACATTTCTAATTTACCCTTCAATCAGGATGTTGTTATGTGTGCTGTATACCTAATTAAATGTCAGAATGTGTTGCTTGTGAAATATAACCCAAGGATCTAGTGAAAACAAATAGAGGACTTTCACTTTTCATGTTCACATATAACATGTTTTCTAGTGATACGAGTTTTGCAACCAGTCTTAATAATAGCTCAGTATCAAGGGAAATGGTTCTTTTGTATGCTATGTAGCTATTGAGGTGCTGTTATTTATTACATACATTATTGTGAAAACTTCTAAGCTCATAACTTTCATTATGAATTATTCAGGTCAAGTACTGCACGGAGGTGGTATCAAAGCTAAATTCCATTGGCATCCGAGCTGAGCTTTGCTACGGCGAGCGCCTACCGAAGCTCATAAGAAATGCAGAAAAGCAGAAGGTGCCTCTCATGGCAGTTGTTGGGCCAAAAGAAGTCGAGACTCAGATGGTTACTGTCAGATCGAGGTTTGGAGGTGAACTTGGAATGATGACCATCGACGAGTTCATCGCTAGAATCCAGTTAGCCGTGTCAAACAGAACATCATTGTAGGAAACCCATCTAACCTTGATTCAAACAGTATCAAAACTGAGTACAGTGGAGTTTGCCGTCGTAGCTTGTGCATTCTCAACCAACAGCAACAGTAAAGGATTCTAGTTTTCCCCCTCTCCCCCTTTGATTCTCCCAAATTATGTACTATATTTGTTTGCTCTTAATGAAGTAATATTTTCCTCCCACGCGTATTCCTTCTCATGCACATCTGTTTATCAGTTATCTCCTACTCATTTTGTTGTGAATTTGTCACATTGCATCTGTACTATAATGGAAAACTCTGGATGGATGACATGAATCACATCCATCATAAACTAAAGATGAGAGGTTGCCTAATCGTTCACTTACTTTGTTTCATAAAGTATTAAATATCATTACTTGTTATAATAAATTTGAATAAATATAACAAAGAAGAAATATTAATGGGGTCGTCAGGTTCTTTAGGGATTCGCCTCTGCTGCTTTTCTTCGGCCGAATGGGCTCGTCAAATTGGGGCAGCTTCCTGGCCGGCGGTTCGAGTGCACTATTGAAAGCGAGGATACGAGACCTGTTCTTCAAAATGCAGTCATCGAGAAGCTTTTGGTATGCCACGCTCGATGGGGATTCTCTTAGAGAACTATTCCAATCGCACCAATAACAAAGAAGAAATACATGAAGAAAAAAAAGGGTAAAAGTAAATGATAAGATTGAGAAAGGAAAACATGTGTAATGTGTCAGATCTCTTAAAGGTTCTCTATCAATGTGCGAGATAGGTTATGAAAGCTCTCACATAATGCAAGTGTTATTAGAATTAGACTACGCTTAATAATACAATTTAGATAACTAGCAGTCTTCCAAAATGAATGAGGGGAACCATTTTTCTTCTTCTGGTTACTATAGCATAGTAGAGGTCAACTACGCATCTATGCCTAACAAAGAATAATTGTTATGGTTTTTTTACCGTAAATTAAAACTTGACATGTGGCGTCAGTCAATCAAGAAAGATTGATGTGCCAAATGGAGATGCCTTTCAGCATGAAATTTAGGGATTTTTTTCATTAATACACTTAATATTCTGTAATTTAGGTATTATGTATATTTTAAATTTTTAAATCTTTTTTATTTTGTCATGCAGTCTAAATAGATATCTAACGATTAAATTGTTTTCCAACTCAAAAACTTTCCTTCATCCAAGTCACTGAATAACTTCGATCACACTTCATTTCAAGGTGGATATCTTTCCAACATTGGATTAGATCAAAATTGATATTATTAAGAACCATGCCCAAATGTTAGATCGGTTCTGATACCAAATATTATGACTTGAGTCTGATGGACTAACTAGCCTATCAATTTCGTTTGGTTTAAACCACTGATCAAAATGCTTAAGCTGAAGTTGATAATAGTACACTCATCAGACCCTTATAAGTCAATCTTAATCTTGTCCATTTTCGATGTGGAACTAATCAAGGGTATTACATGAAATCACCTCGTATAAGACGCATCATGCATATTGACAAAGTCTGTGGAATCTCACAGGCACATCCTGGCAACCACAGAATGACACCACCATTTGACTGTATATTAGATCTAATTAGGTTCCTCCTGTGTGAAACCTTTAGTCCAACCCATCACTTCTTGTAGTTAGGCAAATTAAAAAGGATTTGGGGATCAGGAAAATTTTCCCTTAATTGTTGTGCTGTTGGAGTGATTGGTCCTCATGTCTTGAGTCCATCTTCTCCCTGCTGATTCACATGGTGGATACGGATATCTATCCAAAGCTGACTTCATTTATTTACTACCAATATAAATCATTGTTTGTACAATTTGCTGTTCTGCACAAACTAGCATGTATAGAGGTGATACAGGAGAGAGTTGTGCTCCTCATGACCACTTGTGAGACTTGTGAGAAACTCTAAGACGATGCCCCATCTCGTAGTAATGATGTTGGTGTTAGGACTTGGGGTGGAGTGCAAGGTGGAGAAAGCTTATAGAAAGAAGAAGAGGGAGATTAGTTGTCGGGTCAGCTTCCGACTCTCAACTGAGATGGGCTGTCTCTGAAGCTTCAGAAAAAGAATAGAAGAATGGCCAACTCACGTCCTTCTTTCTCCCTCTCCAATTTCCTGTGATCCCACCTACTGCCACCCTTTTATATGCTGCCTTCCTCTTCCTTCATCCCTTGAGTTGTGTGCCTCCTCAAGCTCACAGTTGGGTGAGTTCTCCATGCTCTCTCCTTACTGTCTTTTGATGTTTAATGTTAATTCTAGCAGACTTCTTTCTGGCTTCAGTGGTGCATGAGTTGCTTATCATTACATTTCTCTTCCTTTCACTTGTTTCTTTGATGCCTGGGGATCTTTATGTTTGAAATCTTTTCATAGAGAAGCTTACTTTGATCAGCTCTACGGATTGCAGGGGCAAGGAAAGTCTTATTGCGGGAAGAACAGTTTTGGACAGATCATGGAGCTCACAGCGATCTCTTTTGCTACTACTCTAGTAGCCTTGCTGATTTCTTCTCCTGCAATAGCTCAGACACCTCCGGCACCGATCCTACCTCCATCCCCAGCACCTGCACCAGCACCTGCGCCACACCATGTGAACCTCACGGAGCTCCTCTCTGTCGCTGGTCCTTACCATACCTTCCTCAACTATCTTCTTCAAACCCGCGTCATCGACACCTTCCAAAACCAAGCCAACAACTCGGAGCAAGGCATCACCATCTTCGTGCCCAAGGACTCGGCATTCGCACTGCTGAAAACCTCAGCCCTGGCCAACCTCACCGACGACCAACTCAGGACGCTTCTCCTGTCCCATTCATTATCCAAGTACTACTCGCTCTCGGATTTCAGGAACCTCAGCAACATGAACCCCGTCACCACGTTTGCCGGCGGGCAGTACACTCTCAACGTCACCGAGGCTGCTGGGATCATTCATGTCGTCTCGTCTTGGTCAAGCCCAAAGATATCTAGCAGCGTCTACTCTACTGCACCAGTCGCCGTTTACCAGATCGGTCGCGTCCTACTGCCGGAAGCAATCTTCAGCGTTGATCCGTCTCTAGCACCAGCTCCAGCTCCAGCTCCGGAGACCACGAAGGCATCGGATATAGCCCCCAGTCACAATGGAATCGCTTCTTCTCCCAAATCTTTAGAGTCACCAACTAATACCGGCCGTTCTGCATACAACACCAGGGGGGTTGGTCTCTTGATCTACTTCGTTTTGGCTGTTTCAAGCGGTCTGATGCTTCTTTAGTGAGCAGCACTGCAAAGCATTTCAACTACAGCATTTTGATTCACTTTTCTGGCAGTTCTTTTTGACGGAGTGGTTTACATAAATATGTCGTTTACTTATACTTTTTGCTATATTATATGACGCAACAATTTGTATGTCATCCGGAATAATGTCCAATTGATATATAGAAGGTTTTTTACCTCATTGTATAACACTTGTTGATGAACATTGCCCTGGAAATACTTCATATGTATCAAGAAGAACGTGAGTTTGAGATGTGATTCAAGAATTGTTTTTGTTTGGGTTGAGATCATGTGGAGTGGCTTTCTGCTGAACAATCTTAGAACCATGTGAAGGTCTTCAATCTTTCCACGTGAAAATGTTCGAATTCAGACAAGGGCATATGATACACCAAATATGAAGGTTCGTCTTCCATCTTTCGGCTTCTGACTGGAACACAGTAAATCATGTGGAACCGACGCTTGAAGTCAACTTTGCATGTAGATGCTGTCTGTTGACTTTATACTGATAAATTAAATCTTGCGAAGGATGCATTGACTGTCTACATTACATAAAAATGCCACTGGCATGCATCAAACCCGCAAATGAGTACAGTATGAAACCATATATATGCATATAACAAACCAAACACAGAGAAGGGAGAGCTCCCTAATTTATTCTCTCTCTCTCTCTCTCTCTCTCTCTCTCTCTCTCTCTACGCCACACACATGCGGTAGATATATTATTCTTGCAATGCCATACTTAAAGGATTCATAGCAGCAAGCACGTCTTTATAAGTTCCCTGGTAAAGCATCACCAAGTCAAACAGGGAAACGGCAACAGTAGCGGCAACCTCCAAAGAACCCACGACAGCAACAGCTCCACCTGCAGTAGCCACCAAATCCGCCACCAGGATAGCCACCGTAGCCACCGCCAGGGTAGCCACCCGATCCGCCAGGATACTTCTGCTGGTTAACACTTTCTTCCTTCGTGCTCTTTTCTTCTGCACGACAGACGAAATAAGAGTCAAATAATTAAGCACTAAGGTAGCTGTGATGATTTCTGTTACGTACATCATGAACATGCATCATTTTACATCTGAACTCGTTAATCCTTTATATATAAATGCATATATTTCTGTCAGAGAGAGAGAGAGAGAGAGAGAGAGAGAGAGAGAGAGAGAGAGTAGTA